GAAAAAAGCACAAATGTCAGGACATGTCAAAACTTCTCCAGGGCCCAAAACACCCTCGGGCCCCAGAGGGTTAAACCGCTGTATGGTCTTGGCCACCGTGCTGCAGCTCAGTTTCAGGGTCTTGGCAATCTTCTTATAGCCTACGCCATCTTTATGTAGAGCAACAATTCTTTTTTTCAGATCCTCAGAGAGTTTTTTGCCATGAGGTGCCATGTTGAACTTCCAGTGAGCAGTATGAGAGAGTGAGAGCGATAACACCAAATTTAACACACCTGCTCCCCATTCACACCTGAGACCTTGTAACACTGAGTCACATGACACCGGGGAGAGAAAATGGCTAATTGGGCCCAATTTGGACATTTTCACTTAGGGGTGTACTCACTTTTGTGGCCAGCGGTTTAGACATTAATGGCTGTGTGTTGAGTTATTTTGAGGGGACAGCAAATTTACACTGTTATACAAGCTGTACACTCACTACTTTACATTGTAGCAAAGTGTCATTTCTTCAGTGTTGTCACATGAAAAGGTATAATAAAATATTTACAAAAATGTGGGGGTGTACTCACTTCTGTGAGATACTGTATATATGTGTGTGTGTGTGTGTGTGGTTTGAAGTATTAGCTAATGAATTATTATGGTTGTTTCATAGTTTAACTTATTTTTGTCTTATTATTTCATAGTTTAACTTATTTTTTTAACTTATAATTTGCTTAAATAAACATGGGGGAAAAAACTTTATGGACCTAATTATTGAAGTATTTGCTTGGAATGTATACTATATATATATTGTAAAATATATATTGAAGTATTTGTTAAATTGCTGATTTCAAAAATAGAAAAACTCATGTAATGACAGTCATCAACAATGTACAAAATAACAATGACAAATAAAAAATTCAAACTAAAGTGCAAAAAAACTGGATTCAATAAAAATAAGCCTTCATTTAATTTATGCAAAATTATTATTTTTTTTATTGTAATTTTGAGGTGAAATATGACTGACATTCACTGAAAGTGAATAAAACAAAAAGAAGGTCAAAGGAAAGGGTTCAGTTTTTCAGTATTTGTGATAAGCCAGCGCACTTCATCAAAAGTCAGTTTGCTTCAATGATGCACAAAGTGACAATTTAGAACAGGGAACAAGCAAAACTGATACTTCACAAATGTATTTTAAAAATTATTTCCATAATCTTTGTAGCTTTGCTCCCTCTTCTAAAGTGTTACCAAACCAGAACGTTAAAACATCAGGGTACCATTGGTAACACTTTATAATAAGCTTTATTGATAATATTAACATTATTGCATTACATGATGCTAAACAGATCATTAGTTCATGTAAATTAGTTAGAAATGAAACTTGAGTTTGTATTTTTTCATACATACTCATGAATGTACATCAACTGATCTGTTAAGCATTACTGAATGTTTGTTAATGACTGGTTACCGCAAGTTATTATAAAGTGTTACCGACCGATCTTACCGCTGCCGAATTCACCGCAACAGTTCGTGGACGTCGGATTTTCTTCCGTAACTGTATATATATAAAGGTTATATGATGTCCTTTTTTTCTGACAGTACAGTGTGTGGTCATTGATACATTAAGGAATGCAGCTCTGACCCCAGGTCACATGATCCTGAACTCACCTCTAGAATGCCCTTCTTCTTGCCCTCCCTCTCCTCACTGTCTATATGGCCTGTCAGAATGGAGTTACAGTCTTTGCACACCTTGTTCATCCTATTCCCATCATATTCCAGTGGGGCTTTGTAGTCTGAGCACTTCCCGCAGACCACCTGAATGATATAGACATTTCAGCACATGACAAGCATTTTGAAATTGTGAAAACAGAATGTTTTTGGTTTGCTGCTGCTTACGTATCCACAGGCCCGACAGTGATGTCTCCTGCGCATTAAGGCATTAAAGGCCTCTTTGCACCTCATGCACATGGTCACCTCATTGTCTCGAATCCAGCGAGGAGCTCTTTTACCCAGTTCTGATATCTTGAGATCCTACACAGAAATATAGACATGTGTAAACAATAAAAACAAACAAATCTGGACTACTATGACTCTATAGTCCTGCATTATGTGCACACATAAGAACATATGCACAAAACATGAACCTCGGACTTACACAATAAGATTTAAACATCAAATTAAACTAGCATTACCATTCATGCAGTACTTATTTATAGAATTGAGACATGATACAATGGCTAAATTAATATAAATCATTTTAAAAACTAATAAATAATAGTTTTTAAAAGCTGAAAAATTAGGTTAAGTTTGCATGAAATAAAAAAAATCACCTCACATATTTTCTGTCTTACCATTTCATCTTTTATTAATTTAAATAATATTAATTTAATTATTAATGTGAATAATTTAAATAACAAAAAAAAATTTCATTTAATTGTTTATTTAAATCATATTTAAATAATTCAATATTGTATTAATTTAAATAATTTTTATTTAATTATTAATTTAAATAATTAAAAATGTGTCATTTAATTGTTCATTTAAATAATTCAACATTCTAAATATGCTCTTCTATAACACTTCTAAGAAGACACACACTGACCGTTACTTCTACATCTTTGAATGCTGACTTAAAGGTCTCATTTTTCTGGAGATAGATGTGTATCGTTTCCTGGAACGCCTAAAACACAAATGAAGACATTTTAAAAATGGACTTCCAATGACTTGATTATTAATCAACATTGATATTACATTTTTACCTTTATCCAGCTTTCTTTATCCTGTTCAGAGCTGTAATAAGGCAACAGTTAAAACCATTTACCCTAAGACAACCATTAAAAACACCCACTATTGAAGAATACACAGTATGCACTATGAACGCAAGCACAGTTGTTCCTGTCTGTACCTGGCCTGCAGCTCCAGTGTCCGTTCCTTTCCAGAAACCTGAAAGGTGTGAGGATAATCATCATTGTACGTCTCCGTCACCGTCATGCCATCAATGCCGATACGTGTGCGAACCGTAAACTTCTGTCCCACCAAGCTGAACTTTGGAACGCAGTACAGCAGCATGTTGTTGAACTGTGGGTAAAGTTCATAGAGATTTATAATAATACATTGACAAATGCTACTATAATCAGAACTCATCAATGGCCAGCATGGACTTACTAGGAAGAGATATCTGTCCATGGCTGAAGTGTTTCTTGCTGCCAGCTTCAGAATATGACCCTCTTTTATTAACTCATTCGAAGGGTTCACAATGTTCTCTTCCTCCCCCAGCATCTCATAAATCTCCAGCAATTTCTTAAGGTTTTCCTAAGAGACAGAAGACAGTATAACGAGAAAGAGCACAAAACAATCTTGAATATACTGTAGGTTTCAAGAGAAAAGCACTTAATAATACGTCATTTTAGCCTGACAAACATTTCTGACATTTTTGGAAGATGTTATTCAAATGAGAGTCAGTTATTACGTGACTGACTCTTTGAAAAAGGATTGTTAAACGTAATCTAGAAATTCATTTGTACAGCAGATAAAGAACACTCACTGTTTTCCTAATGGCAGTGTTGGAATGAGTGGCAGCCATGGCAATGATCTCTAAAGACTCTGCAGAGACAAATATTTCACATTTCGAAAAGGTCATGTTTGACATCTGGTTTAGGAATCTGCTCACTCCTGAACTCACTTTCAGCATCCCGCCGGTCTATGTGATCCTGAGGAAGTTTCTTCAGATAGTCTTTGAGCAGCATCTCGTATCGTGGCACTCTCTGAACGGGCTCCAACATGTGGTGCTGCAGTGTCAGACTTCCACACACTTCTTGACTCTGAACACACAAACACAGACACGTCAATCTACAAACACTAAAGGCGGCAAAAACAAACAGACACTGTATATCAACAAAGAGTAAAGATAGTCAGGCTGATTAAATCAGCCCTAATTTGGCTATTTTTTTCCATTATATCAGTACTAAAATCTACCAACATCCTTATTAACCGTAAGTTCTGTGAAAAGCATTAGCTTTGTTGTTTTGCTAATACTTCAAAATGAACCTGTGAATGTCTGTGGGTGAGCACGTCTTCGCCATTCAAAATCAAAGTGCACTTTTTCATTATATAATGCTGTCTTATTGCTCTTCTTCCTAGTAAGTGCATTTTTAAAAAATGTTTTCCCGATGAATACTGGACTCCTGCTCAAAGTTAAAAGTTAATATAACGACATCTACAAAAAAACAACAACAATAAGCTCGTGAAGCTGTTGTCGTTCCATCCTGACGGATGACAGCTGTGACAGCTAAGTGGAATCCCGGAAAATAAACCGTGAAACTTTGACCAATGAGAGAACGGTTTACTCGTGCGTGACTTGTATGAACAAATTTGGTCCGTTTAGAAACATTGCCGTGTGAAAGCGAACCGCACCAAGAATAAAAAGCAACATTGTAATAATTTTAATCCCTGTTTCGGAAGAAAGCAATGGATCTACAGGTGTGAAAGCGCCGTAAGACTATACACATCAATGTTCACCTGGATTTCCAGAATGATGGCTTTAAATGGAGGCGATCGGTCCGTCCATTGCTTCAGCAGATCCATGGCATGATCAAAGTTCCTCACATATTCAGCGTACATCTTCAGAAAGGGAGTGAGTTTCTGTAGGATGTCCCCAATGCGAGGTGTCGACGTCCTTGAGGAAAAGTCTCAGAGCAATAAGACCATATTCCTACCGATTAAACCAAACACAATGTCTGAGAAGAGAGAGTGTGAACGTCTTACCATTCTCCCATGCGTTGTTCCAGGTCAGGCAGAAGGAACTGGCTGTGGAAGGTATTAATGGAAGAGATGTTGGAAAATATGTTTTTCACCACATCCATGGGGAACGCGTCTTTTCTTGCTTCTTCTAACAGCTTGGCATAAAACACCTGCATGGCCAGAGTTAGATGATGTATGGTCTGTGTGCATACTACTATATTTAACATACTCAGGGCCTTGCAAGAGTTTGGTCAGTCTTTGAAAAAGCAAAAAAAAAAAAAAAAAATGCTTTCATGAAAAACAATATGAGCCCTTACCTTATCTAATAAGTTGAGTCGTGTAACATAAGCCTTCTCTGTCTGCAGAAGTTCGTTTGCTATCTTGTAGAGCTTCTGCTCATTAGTTTCCTAAATAAAAGAAGTTCAATTTTAACATAAATACATAAACACAAATCGACATCATTTTTTACATATTTGCTTCATGCAAATGTTGGTTTTTAAAGATCTTTGATGGTGAATAATGTCATATTTAACACCAAAAAAAAACAAAAAAAAAAACATTGTACATAAAATATTTATGACAATTTTTTTTAAAAACAAACAGTATAAAAGCATTACTACAAATACTCATTTACATACTTTACCATTTAAATATAAAAGAAATAATTATACAATGATATGAAAATAATAAATAATATAAATAACAAATAATAAATACAAAATAATGCCACAATTACAAAAATATTAATAGTCTTTTAGCAAAATATAATTTTTTCCTTTTTATTTTTAGGGTGGAATATGACCTCTATTCACTCTTTAAAATGAAAAGCGGTCCAAGTTCATATTTTACTTTACCTTTGCCAGCTCTTCTTGAGACACTATAAATAATTCAGATTGTCTAAAGTTCTGAGCTTTGGGCTCGCTATAACTTAAATTATACAACACATTTTTGTTGAGTTTGCTGAGAGAGAACTATAACACTGCAGATGTGTCTTTGGTGGGAGATCCAGCTCAGCTCAGGGCTGAAGGGAAACAGAGCTCTGAACGTAAGGGTCAAGGGCAAAGCCAATTCAGAGGTTGTCTATCACACCCATACACAAGTGAACATCCACTGGCATACACTCGCTGTACACGCTGAGGTCTGTTAAAGCAACTTCCTGATGTACACTGCCCACAAACAGTACTGCTATCTGCCTGTCAGCACTTTAAAGACACATCTTCTTATCAGAGCTCACATAAATAACCTTTGAACTATTTCAGATACCCTCCACCACTTAGCTGATGAAAGAACCCAAGCTAACTTCCAATATGTCCAGCCTTTGGCACAGCTGACTGCAATTCTAAAGAAGCTCATTGTCGAAACTTACCTCAGAGGACAGGAAATGAAAGGATGGATAAGAGGAATCAAGTTAAGCCAATAAAAGAGGGACTGGTGTGGACAGAGGATTAAAGGTCTGTGTTTCTGAAGCTTCACGCATGGTCACATTCACAGAAAATCTGGTCTTTTATAATTTATATTCAATGTAAATAATTAAAACTATAAAATAACACAAATGTATGTAAATTATATAGTGACCAAAAAATGTTAACCAAATAATATTATTAATGATAAAATAAATAATTAAAAACAATAAAATAATCTAATAAACATTTTAATTAATCTTAAAATGAATAAAACTATGATATAACACAAATGGAAGTAAGTGAATTACTGTATGTAGTGGCCAAAAATTTTATATAATACATTTAAAAATACGAATATTAATTTAAATATATTATTAATAATGATCAAATGAGTATGTAAAACAATTAAATATCCTAAATCAAAATTTCAAAATGCAATTATCATTAAAATAATTAAAGCTATGAAATAATTCCACTTCTATTACATCCACCTGTGTTATGTATTGGCCAAAAATGTTAAACAAATAATAATAATAATAATAATAATAATAACAACAACAACAACAACTACAAAATAACACAAATGGAAGCAAGCATATTATGTAGTGACCAAAAATGGTTTAAAAAATAATATGAATAATAATAAAATAAATAATTAAAAACTAGAAACATTATAATTAATATTCAAATATTTAAAACTAGAATACAAATGGAAGTATGGGAACTATTATTAAGTAACCAAAAATGTAAAAACAAACAAAAAAGCAAAACAAACTGAAACTGTCTTGTACGGTATTTGAACTTCAGGAGGTGCATGCCAGGATGCTTTTTAAGTGCCACTGAGAGAGCCATTGAAAGAGTTCCAAAACAAATTATTTAAAGCTGCAGTCCGTAACGTTTTTTGTGTTCAAAATTTACAAAATTTATATAATAAGCGAGTACACCATGAATCCATTTTCCAAACCATGTTTTTGGCTTGTCCTGAATCACTACGGTACACCTATAATAAGTGTTATTAGGGATGGGCATTCCAAGCAAAAATAATATTAGAAAATCGCAGGGTATTATTCGAAAATCGCACCCCTCCCCCGCATGCACGCACAAACACCCATAACCTGAGAGAGAGGGAGAGAGACGGGATTCACACTTTCAATCTGTATGATAAACTGTTTAATTCAGAAGATAGGCTACCTTAACGCAAGCCATATAATGATTGTAACGTGCTGAAACATATTAATATAATAAACACAACCGAATGACGGCACTTATTAACATAACAGTCCGTCGATTAGCATAAATGAACTGCTCATAAGGCTAGGACATTTCCATTTCAAAAAATAGAACCCCTAATGGAAATAGATACGAAATGGGAGGAAAAATATACTTCAATATTTTCTGTCGCAATTATATCGTTGGGTAATCATACTGTATATAAACTACGGGCATCAGGGAGCCGTTATTAATATGCGGGGCATTTAAATCGCTTTTGAACGCATGCTTTTTTACTTTCACTTTCGAGATTCGCGATCACACGTACGTACAGAGCAGCACTCGGCAGTACTTACCACACATTTTACAAGATTAGATGTTTGTCAGTGGTGCTCAGGATCTGCAAATCATTCGCCATCATCCTATCAGTCATCTCTCCTTACTCTGTTTTTGTGGTAAGTGAAATGTTATGCACTGTAATGTAACAGGCTACCGTTGTACCATGTCCCTTTAGTGGCTCCGTAGAACGCGTTATTTGTTTACCACGCCTTTCTGAATACGGATTCAGCCACATCTCTAACCCAGTCGGGGGTGTTTGTGGTCCGCACAGAACTCTTATTTGACATCGTCCCAAGTTACTGTAACTGTTATATGCTACGCAAGTCTTTTTTTTTATGCCACGCAAGTCTACAGTGTGCGGATGAGACAATGTGTTCTCCTATTGTCTTTGACAGCAGCTTTTAGGTGCGTTATTGGCAACGCCACCCTCTGCTTACATGAACACCACCGCATCAGCACGGAAAACATGGGGAGACAATAATCGCACAACCTATTCGATATTCTATAATTAAATCAACTAATCGAATATTCGAAAATCGTGACACATCCCTAATTTGGACTATTTTAGACTGGTTCGGGTAGGTACCGCTGCGGAGTAGCCCAGTACCTGCGTGATTCGTCATAGACATAAACAGAGAGAAGTAGCTCCGGCTACAATGTTCTTCCGCAAGATGAACGCAGTTCTGTTTATTAACCGCTAGAGCGGCAAAAGTTACGGACTGCAACTTTAATCTGTTTACCAATTTATTGACTACATGACTAAGCATTTAAACACAAGATTTTAGGTTTTTAAAACGATAACATACACTTCAGTCAAGCACGTCCAAAGTATTGATTGTAAACATCAGAGACGATATCTTATAGTGGAAGAATGCCATTAAACAGAATTCATTTTGGTAATATATAGCAGCTGTTTTTAAAAAGCAATAATGCACTCAAAGCTGTGCTGTATTGTGGCCCTTTAGCCGTGACTATACTAACAATATAGAAAGGCCTTGATTGCGTAAGTGTACCATAATGACAGATTTTGTCATCAGGTCTACTTGACCCACATCTACAAGATTTAAAAAACAAAACAAAAAAACAAAACTAGAAGCATTAATCCATCTGCAATGTTTTCTTCAGAGGAAATGAAGGCCTGGCCTGTAAGACTAATGTGAACGTCAGCATGTAAATCTGGCGGATGAGACAGCACATTGCTCAGCCGGGCCCGAGGTGTCAAATAACTGTGTGACAGTGTCACTACTGACTCCATAAACACACTCACACTCACACGGACAGACAAAATCTGAGCGGATCAGACAAAATACTCCTCACCAATCCTCTCAGATACCAAAACCATCTTACCTTCTGCTCTGGGATGCTGTTCATCACAACGTCACGCTGCTCCGGCGCTTTCCTCTCCTCCTCTTTGGCCCGTTCTATGTGAGCGTGAGGTGGATCTACACAGTCTTCGTCCATAATTTCCCTCTTAGCCACATCGCCGGCATCTCCGTTCAGCAGTCCCTGCCTGTCTGTCCTCACGACCGGAACCATGTCGTGCGTAATTCCGTCCATATCCCGATTCCTGCCCTGTTCTCTTTTCTTTTGGGCTAGAACCCCATTGTGGGGTTTGAGAGCATGGCGTGGGCTGTTCGCAGGAGAGCCGGAGTCTGTGGGCTGCTCCGTCTGTCTCTGGTAGTTTTTGTGAGCCGGGCTGCAGTTAGGAGATATGCTGACCTGCTTCAGAGGAGTGCCCTCCCTCCGACTGTCTGTGTGACTGTTGAGAGAGAGAGAAAGCAGAGGAAGGTCACCTTCTTTAGAGTCCGAGAACTCCAAAAGACAACTAACTTTTACAGTTGGCGAACAGAAAGAGAAAGATGTGTTGTTTGTGAGAATGTGATGGCATTAAAAGAAGTGTTGAACAAACTTCCTCTGTCTTGTGGGGCAGCGATGTGTGCGTCTGCAGGGGACGTGTGAATGAGCGGGTCATGGGAGGAGTGGAGGAAAAGAGGATAGGAGGAGGATGGGAGGAACAGAGAGTGTGAGGAGAGGTAGAACGCGGCTGCAGAGTGTCCCGTGAGACACGGCTGCCCTACTTCAGAACACATGCCAACATGCAAGAACACACATTTACACACTCAAGAGAGCGAGACGGTCTTTCTCTTTTGAACAAAATGCTTTCAGGAACAGTGGGAGCAAACTATAAATTATGTAAGAGATCATGTACAGTGCACCCAGACAGTCTGGTTTTGTGATGATGACAGGATGACTGGACAGGATCCCAGTTATTACACGGCTGCTTAATAAATAAATAAATAAATAAATAAATAAATAAATGGACATGAAATATTGATTTGAGTTGAAATTATTACTATAAGACCAGCTCTATCAATTTGAGCTGCTTTGACAAGAAAAATATTTTAAGTTTTATGCACAAATACAACATTTAATTTTATTAATCTATTAGTAAATGTCAAAATTAACATTAAGAATAAGAAATGCTTTAGAATTATTTGAATTGTTAGTTCATGGTAACTAAGGTTGACAAATGTAAAATTATTGCAAAGTGTTACCAAGCAATTAATATAATTTGAAAGCTGAGACTTTGTTCCTTAAAAAAATATCATAAAACAAGTTTTTTTTCTCTTAGAATCGAATCTCCGCAAATGCTTCATTGCAACTCAAAATGAGTGGGTCACTTATAGTGATGGTTCAATCAGAATCAAGTATTCCAGAGCGCCGTGTAATAAGAATACTTTTTTGACTGATGAACGATAAATAACAGAGATGCACAATATAGAATCATCAATATAAAATCCCAATATTTAATATTTTATACCATATATATCAATATTTTTTTTATATCATATCATAACTGATATGATATGATATTTTGAGTTTATCCATTAAAAAAATGTGTTCAATTCTAAAGCCCAATTTAAGCTTATTTTTGTTTCTGTATAAGCATTTTACAAGTAAAATCAGGCATTAGAATATTACAATGTACAATAGAGAAGATGAATAATTGTTTAGCTTAAAATATGGTATAGAAAAAAATAGGGGGGAAAAAAAAGTCTTGATAACATTAGTTTCTTATCCAGACCAATACTGATATAAAAAATGATAATGTTGGCAATATGGTCACTGATATATTGTGCATCCCTAATAATCATCAAAACTCCATTTAAGCAAACTGTAAAAACATGATCCATTCATAACTTCACATAAGCGTGCATAAACCGAACAAAATTAAGCCACAATATAAGGCTTTGTGGTTCATGCACACGCACACGCACACAAACACACACACACACACACAGATATCCTGCACCTCCAGCTGTTTCCCTGTCTACGGCCCACCTGCCCTCTAGATCAGATAGCATTTCCTGTGAGATAGAGAATGGAGATGTGGATCTGAGGGTACGGAGCACTACAGTGAACACTCCAGATTACAGACAGCTATTAATACACCGTTGAGCTCTGGACTGCTGAGATGTGCTATCTAATATTTTGTTCAGTGCATGACTCAAAACTTTTCAAATCTGTCCCATGCAAAGAACAAAAGCTAAGTCTTTGTAATCTGGTATGATGAAACCTAGTTACAAACAAGGTATTTCAGGAAAACAAAATTAAGCTATCAAATGAAGCCACACAAGCATGGCAGTATGGATTTCATAGTTTTTTTCCCATGAGGTTGTAAACCAACCACATGCAGTTGTCTGAGGTCACGGCTCTTGGGTCAGCATTCATAAGTACGTCTTGGCCTAGGCCAGACAGCTGCAGGAGTTATCAGACCCCGGTTTACTCGTCAATCAACTCGTGCACTCTTACTTTGCTCCAGAGCTTACAGGATGAATTCCTGCACAGATTCTGACCCACACACAACACAATGGCACTAGACCGGCAGGCAAAACAGGATAAGGGCTTGCAGGGATTTATTTGTGAGGAACTGGGGTTAATGGTCAGTCCATTTTGTTACTGTGGCCATATGGTTTCATATGACCTGACTACACCGATGCTGAGCTAGACTTATAGCAGATGAAAGGAGTGAATTTTATGCAGTAAACCAATGCTTCACTCTGAATTCATCATGGTTAAGGGGCGTTTGTAGTGTTTAAACCCATGTAACCATGGTAAAAACAGTAATGCACTTCCTCAAGTGGCTTATTTCATAAAACAGCAGCAAAAGCAATGTGATAGAAGACACCAATGTTTAATAAATAACTAAATGCATTAACAAAAATCACAAAAAATTAAATTCTTTTGCCAAAAATATAGTATATTGCGAATTTCATGTTACTTGATGAGACTTTCACAATTGTTCTGTTACAACGCCTCAAATTTCGAAAGCACTGTATGCTTTAAAAACATGAGCTATGAGTTTATGTGCTTGACAAATTAGACATATTTAGCAACTTTTTAAACCATTCAATGATTTCAAAATTCATGTTTGAGGTATGACAGTGTGTAATTTATGTTGTAGAACAAAATGTGAAAGTCTCTTCCAATAATGTGAACCACAGATCTTATTTTACTCTTAAAAACCCATTAGAAATTCCAGAGGGAGCCCATGGTGAATTAGCCTTCCGGGTCGGCCTACAAATGACTAAACAGCTCTATTGGCTGCAGTAAAACATAAGGCATGAGCCATTATAAAGTATAAATCATTGCACTTTGTTGAATAACACCAGCTTTAAGCACTTTCAAATTAGTTGTGCACGAAGTAACAGTGAAGAATAGATGGCTAGACATAAATTGATAAATCAATCTTACCTCCAGTGTTGAAGTTTTATCACACACAACAGCAAATGTCTCATACAATACCAGTTCTTGAGAAACACTTAACAGAACGTTAGAGTAAAAACTAGCTTCTTCTTTTTTATATTCTTGTGCAATGTCAGTGCAGACATTCCTTTACAGTAATTTAATCACGTTACACATCTGACTCTGATTTCACAGCATTTCTCTCTATATCGCACAAACATAATTTTTTAAAAGAAATTAATACTTTTATTCAGCAAAGATGCATTAAATTGATCAAAAGTGACAGTAAGGAAATGTATAATGTTACAAGAGTTTTCTACTTCATATATGCAGTTCTTTTGATTCTAAATTTTCTATTCATCAAAGAATGCTGACAAAATGTATCATGGTTTCCACCAAAATATTAAGAAGAAAAACTGTGTGAGCGTCAAATCAGCATATTAGAATGATTTTTGAAGGATCATGCGACACTGACGACTGGAGTAATGATGCTGAAAATTCAGCTTTGTCATCACAGGGATAAATTATTTTTTAAATATATAAAAACAGTTACTATAATTTTGCAATAATATTTCATAATATTACTGTTTTTACTGTATTTTTGATTAAATAAATGCATCCTTGGTGAGACGTCTTTTTTAAAAACATCTAAAAAAAATCGTATTGACCCACACTTTTGAAGGGTAGTGTACTAACGTGAAAACACTTTCAAAGTATACTTTTGCAAAAGCAAAACAAGATCAATGAACTTATGTTAGAGAATGTCAGCATCTACAAATCCATGAACAGAGGAAAGAGAGGTAGATATTGATCGCAAGTTTACCGGTTCTCCTCAAAGCGACTGATGAGGTTGGACACTAGGCCCTTCCCTATTGCTCCTCCTACTCCTCCTCCATCCATGTTGGGACTGATGGGTGACGTTCCAGCAGCCAGAGGAAAGGAGACTTCCGTCACCGGACTCTGAAGGTGTGCTGGCTTAGGAGGCACTGCGGGAAAAGTCACAAAGAGGACAAAGATTATGTTTGCATGCTAATGTAACAAAGCCGATATTTACTGTACACAATCCAAGAAAATCATTGCACGACCAGCGTGAGTGGAATCAGGTTCCACAATCGCCATTGTTAATGGGATAGTTCACCCAAAAATGAAAATTCTGTCGCTAATTACTCACCCTCATGTTGTTCCAAACCCATTAAGACCTTTATTAATCTTCAGAGCACAAATTAAGATATTTCTGATGAAATCCAAGAGCTGTCTGACCCTCCATACACAGCAGGGGAACTACCACGCTTTCCATCACTTGTTTCTCATGCGATACTTCAAAATGCGCATTAAATTAGGGTGATGGAAACATAGCTATTGTCACGTTCGCTACAGTGCCATGACACATGCATGTGCATTCCTCTACTTGCAAACAAGGCGTAGCCACTGATGCCACATGGACTATTTTAAAAATGTTTCTGGGCCTGGGAACATTTCAGTTGCATTGCTGTCTATGGAGGGTCAGTAAGCTCTCGGATTTCATCAAAAATATCTTAATTTGTGTTCCGAAGATGAACGAAGGTTTTACAGGTTTGGAACGACATAAGGGTGTGTAATTAATGACAGAATTTTCATTTCTGGGTGAACTATCCCTTTAAGTGTCTTGCTTAAGGGCAAACCCGCCCTGAGCTTTCACTGCACCTCTAACCGCATGTAAGGAAGTGTAAAACAAAGTGCCCAAATAGAACATATATGTGGGAAAACCCCTAATAGTGAAGTTATTTTAAGGAAGCACTTAGTTTATTGCAGGGAGGGCCACTGTCCTGCAGAGTTTCGCTCCAAGCCCAATGAAACACACCTGAATCAGCTAATCAAGGTCTTCAGACTCAATAGAAACTTCCAAGAAAGTGTGTTGGAGCTAAACTCCAAGAGAAGGCCCTCCAAGAGAAGGACTGGACGTCCATGGTTTAGTGCTATTATACTGGAAGTTGTAATCGTCACAAGGTGGCAGTGTAGCTTTAGTATGTTGTAATGGAACCTGATAATACCCTGCAAGATGAGATGAAGTGCATCTTGAAGCCAAAGAGTCTGTCTCTACCTGCGGAGAGCAAATCACAGCTAATCGAAGGGTGCTTTCACACCTATAGATCGATTGCTTTGTTCCGAAACAGGGATTAAAATTATTACAATGTTGCTTTTTATTCTTGGTGCGGTTCGCTTTCACACGGCAAAGTTTCTAAATGGACCAAATTTGCTAATACAAGTCACACGCGAGTAAACCGTTCTCTCATTGGTCAACATTTCACGGTTTATTTTCCGGGATTCCACTTAGCTGTCACAGCTGTCATCCGTCAGGATGGAACGACAACAGCTTTGCGGGCTTATTGTTGTTGTTTTTTTTTGTAGCTGTCCTAATATTAATTTACCATTTTGAGCAGGAGTCCAGGATTCATCAGGAAGCTCTAGAGTTCGTTTTCAATCGAGCCGAGACCACCTCGTTCAGGCGATCTCGGACCGATTGATTTGGCGCGGATCCGAGCGCGATTGCCGTGTTCACATATGCCCAAATGAACTGAGCTAAGGGGGAAAACGCGCCAGGTTCCGAAACAACGGGCCAGGTGTGAAAGCACCCTAAGTCTGATGGGGTGGAGATATTGCAGAGCTCACGGCTCCATCTAGTCTGTCCCAATATAAATAGTGGCCGCCCCTCTCATTTCATACATCTCTAATTCAGTAAGTGTGGTCTTTGAGGTTTATGTCAGTGGGCTTTTTGCCTTTAATTTTACATGAGAATACAGAGATACATAAAAAACGGTTCTATGTAGGAGGAACCCTGTTCCGGCTCAATGCCTATCTGTGAAGCATTTTGAAACCAACAATCATATATCTGCAGTCGATGTTCAGAATACTTTTCAGCAAATATGCAGAGCGATGACATCGTATAATTTTAGGGTCTGAAATGATAGAGCTGACCTTTTTTTAAAAAAAAAAAAAAGCAAAAGAACTTTACAAATGTTTAACTGTTACTCTTATCACTAGGAAATCATTCACACTTTTCAAACACGACAGACAATCTGCTTAGTGATCGAGCTCGGGTTCAAGGATGCTCTGAGGGTGCCGTACTTATTACAGCAGTGTTTTTCAGCATTAATCAGTAGCCATGCTGGTTTGAATCCGGTTAACGGTAACGTTCAGTGTTCAGGGCCTGTTGTAAAGGGAAAGACATGTTTGTGTGTAAAATAAGGTTCTAGAAAGAGGTTTAACAATGATGCCATAAAACCATTTTGGGATTCTCCAAAGTGAACAGTTCTTAAAAGAACCATTTATTTCTTAGTGTGAAGAAAACTGTAATAATCTAACCAACCTTTTTTTCCACTATAAGGAACCTTTTGTGCAATGGGAAGGTTCCAGGGATATTAAAAGGTTCTTCATGGAACCATAGATGCCATAAAGACCACCATAGACAGTTTAGCATGTACTTCTGTGGAATTATGGAAGGAGTTATGTGTGCGTGCATATTGTGCACATATCTCCATACCTTGTGGTTTGGGATGCAGTGGTGGCCGTCGACCTGAAACTCTTCCATTTACTCCAGTAAGGCTCTTATTGCTGAATCTGCATCCACGACTCAACTTCTCATTGTGACGACCTTGCTCATCAGGACTGTGGCTACCAACGGCTGCAGAGGAGAAAAGAAGGATGGGAATAAAGCGGTTTCAAAAGCAGTTCGTTTTATCTAATTGCTTGGAAGCCATACTGTGTGCAAACTTCAGTTGAGTAGCGAGAACATGCAATACTAACAGTGTTCTGGTAAATACACTCTCTGTGCAGAAGTGAAATGAAAGAGGTCTGTTTTTTGTGCTCCTGATATCATTCAGGGTTGGTATAAAAGTGGCCTTGAAACTCAAAGTGACTTAAACTTGAAACAAAGACTAAAAATAACCACAAGTTCCTCTGAGTCAATTACGAAACAAAGAGTGTCAGATTGTTTGGATGATCAATATTCAAATTATGAGGAAGCTTTTTTGTTCGCCTCAACCAAGAAATGTTTCCTGAAAAACAGCTTTGGCAAATACTGTAAGACATGCACGTATCTGTCGACAATGACTGCTGACCTTGAAAAGTTCAGATCTAAAAATGACACAGAACTGAATTTTTCATGTGCAACAAAGTGATCCGTCTTAGATGTGGAAAAAAAACTGCATGAAAATGATCTTGGTTCCCACGTTGAATAAGAAAAACTTTCCAAAACAACAAGAACAAAATATCAGTAGGCTATTTTTACTGCAAAATTGTGATAAAATCTGCTCTCATAAGTAGGGGTGGGACAATAAATCGATCTGCCGATTTATAGCGATATTTCCGGCCGCGAGACGTTATCGATACTCTGGCACACAATTTTTTTAAACATACAAAAGATCGAAATTCATACCTACACTGTGGCTGTTTACCACTTTGGCTTACCGGAGCGGCAGTACCTCCAGACAGGCGCTTCCCAGATTGCGGATGGTCAGATGAACGGAAATTGTAATTCCCAGCGAAGAAGAAATACGAGCGTAATGGTAGACCAACAACAAATCAGAGATGCACCAGCGTCTAATGTATATGGTGATGAGAACTAAAAAACTGCCCTGGAACAGCTATCAGCGTGGACTGTAGGCATCGATCACGTTATTATTGCAGAGTGCATATTGAGTCCGTGAGTAGCCTAACCTCTCAGCTCGGAGCGCAGTGAGTGAGAGAGAGCGGCGCCAGTGTAGTGCCGAAATTTGCACCCTGCCAGATTATGCACCCCCTAGTATTGGTAGGTTTCGGAGTAGGTGTGAGGGAGGGGTTAGGATTAGGGGTGGGGTTGGGATTAGGCAATCAGGTAGCGACTTCAACGAGGGGGTGCATAATCTGGCAGGGGTGCAGAATTCGGCACAACACCGGTGTTACGAGATTTTTGGTTTCAGTGGGCGGAGCATACATGAATATTCATGAGTTTCCCTGACATGCGCGTGGAACCAGGTGGAACTGAGAATTTCAGTTCACGCTCCTTGTATCTCAGCAGATTTAATGGAATATTTTAAAAAAGGTAAATATATTTATAGCGTTGCACAAACCTATGCCTAAACTACAATTGTTCATCATTTTGTAACAGTTTATAATGTTTTTGTGCAGTCGTCACTGACTGAATGATTGCAGACATTCAGCACACTCAAGCTAGTTGTATAAATGACTTTGATTTCAATTCGTTGTGCTGTATCTTGCAATGCTTTAAAACTATGTCTGTTGTTAGTTGGTATCATTTGAGTACAACAGCTATTTGTGGACTAATCGTTTTTCATCTATGCTGGTGTGATTGTTCTTAAACTGTTAGGCTTAGGCCATATTTACAAAATGAATAGGAATATAAAGACCCCACACACAAGCATGAAGTGTTCCTTTAATAAGTACAATTTTGGATTAAACTAAATTGTATGGACACAAGTTTAAAAAGTAGCCTATATTTGGTACACTGTAAATGAGAAAACAAATACTTCACTGCATTTTATGAAATGTATATATTTAGATAATATTTCAGATAAAAAAAATATTTTATTAACAAATGTTTAAAGGTGTGCTTGTTTTGATATGATATATGCAATACTGTTCTAAGGATTTGTATTAGTAAGGTTCTTTGTTCATGTCACCAACTGCATCAATTAAAAATATTAAAAAACATTAATATTGTGGAATAATTTTACAATTTAAAATAAA